TATTTTACGTTTGGTAGTGTGTATATGTCCATGCCACTCTCTCACTTTGTACCAGCTTACCCTTCCCCCTCCCCATGTCCTCAAGTCCATTCTCTACGTCTGCGTCTTTATTCCTGTCCTGCCCCTAGGTTCATCAGAACCACTTTTTTTTTTTTAGATTCCATATATATGTGTTAGCACACGGTATTTGTTTTTCTGTTTCTGACTTACTTCACTCTGTATGACAGACTCTAGGTCCATCCACCTCACTACAAATAACTCAGTTTCGTTTCTTTTTTATGGCTGAGTACTATTCCATTTGTATATATGTGCCACGTCTTCTTTAACCATTCATCTGTCGATGGACACTTAGGTTGCTTCCTTGTCCTGGCTATTGTAAATAGAGCTGCAGTGAACATTGTGGTACATGACTCTTTTTGAATTATGGTTTTCTCAGGGTATACGCCCAGTAGTGGGATTGCTGGGTTGTATGGTAGTTCTATTTGTAGTTTTTTTAAGGAACCTCCATACTGTTCTCCATAGTGGCTGTATCAATTTACATTCCCACCAACAGTGCAGGAAGGTTCCCTTTTCTCCACACCCTCTCCAGCATTTATTGTTTGTAGTTTTTTTTTTAATTTTTGAATTTTATTTTATTTATATTTTTTATACAGCAGGTCCTTATCAGTCATCAATTTTATACACATCAGTGTATACGTGTCAATCCCAATCCCCCAATTCATCACACCCACACCCCCACCCCCACTGCTTTCCCCCCTTGTGGCCATACGTTTGTTCTCTACATCTGTGTCTCAGTTTCTGCCCTGCAAACCGGTTCATCTGTACATTTTTCTAGTGTCCACATATACGCGTTAATATACAATATATGTTTTTCTCTTTCTGACTTACTTCACTCTGTATGAGTCTCTAGATCCATCCACGTCTCAACAAATGACCCAGTTTCATTCCTTTTTCTGGCTGAGTAATATTCCATTGTATATATGTTTGTAGATTTTTTGATGATGGCCATTCTGACCAGTGTGAGGTGATACCTCATTGTAGTTTTGATTTGCATTTCTCTAATGATTAGTGATGTTGAGCATCCTTTCATGTGTTTGTTGGCAATCTGTATATCTTCTTTGGAGAAATGTCTGTTTAGGTCTTCTGCCCATTATTGGATTGGGTTGTTTGTTTTTTTAATATTGAGCTGCATGAGCTGCTTGTATATTTTGGTGACTCCCAAGTATTTTTTTTTTCTCGTTTACTCTCATGTCTCTCTTCAAATGAGACCTAGCTGATGGCTGAGTGGGATATTGAGCACTTTGGGTGGCTTTCGAGCTCTGTCCCACAGATACGCCTCGGGGGGCTGCCCTGAGTGGCTGTGTGCCTCTAGGTCTCCATCTCTGCTTGAACCAGGGGAGCCCCCTTCCCACAGTTTTCTGTTTCTGTTGGAGTTTTGCCTCAGATTGCATTTGAAGAGAGGATTTCCCTCCTGAAACCCAATGAATTCGATGATTGCCCGTGGGTCTTCCTGGTTTTCCATTTGCGCTGATGACCTCTGGGGGCCTCTCCAGTTTCAGGTTCCTACAGTTCACACCTGAGGTCTCTTGAAGGGTCAGTGCCTACCCTTGGCACCGTAAACGGTCCTTAGTTTTGGGTCTCTAAAAAAGACCCGAGTACTGGGTATTTCCTCAAAAGCAGATTCCTGCTGGGCTCCCATTCCCAGCCAAGCCTGCATCTCACATCCGGTGCCCTGTCCTCTCACAGGGCCCTGCTTTCGTTCCATTTCTATAGCACCTTTCCTTGGCCAGCTCAATGCACATGGAAAATAAACAATAACATGAGTTTGGAAGTTTGCAGCCTCTTAGGGGTCAGGAGCTGCCACTAGCTACCAGACCCCCATAAACTAAATCTTTTTTTGTTCCCCTTTGTACAGATCTAAAGGGTGATTGATTTAATGTTGTTTTTTTAAAGGAACCCCTCAGCTCAGTGACCCATTAACAGCAGAACTAATTCACTGAGCTACGATAACAAACTTACACCCGCAAAAGCATATTCAAGGCAACCACGAACTTTGAAATGTTTGTTTTCCTTAGGATCTCTGATAGATGAGGTGACAAAAGCAGCTGGATGAAATTCAAAATGCAGACCAGGATCGGGTTCTCAGGGCTGGGGAGAGCAATGCACAGGGGGTTTGCAGTCAAGGCAAGAGGGTGGAGACCTTGCCGGCTCAGCTGCTCCGAGTTCCTTCCTTCCTGGGTCCTCCAACTTGCTGCAGAGCTGTGTGTGTTCTGTGTCTGCGCTGCCCTGTATGGTAGCCGTTAGCTGCTTGTGGCTATTGAACACTTGAAGCACGGCAAGTGAGACTGAGGAGCTGAATTGTTAGTCCTAAGTAATTTTAATTAATTGAACATGGCTGGTGACAGGTCTACAGAAATTACTGAGTACCTGTGGCATGCCAGACGCTGTGGGAAACACTTCTTAGGCTTGTCTCATTGAATCCTCAAAATAACCCAATGGAGTAAATGCTATTACTATTGCACCCATTTTACAGGTGCAGAAAGTGTGGCTTAGGGAGTTTAAGTCACTTTCCCAGGGTCACACAGCAAAAACAAGGCATGCCTTCTATTGCAGAGCCTGCATTTAAGCAAGAATTATTTGGCTCCCTTTCTGATACTGGGGAAGTTTAAGAGAGTCCCAACTGCTCAGATTAAGCAGACACCAGGCAGGTGATGGGGCAAGCCAGGTCGAGCACCGGGTGAGTGCGGTCACGTTGAGCTGTTGGATAATCCCCAGGCAGATAGAAGGACAGCAGCTCAGATTTTACTTCCTGAAGGTAATAGGCCATAGGGAGCCAACCAAGAGGACCCTCCAGGCCCTGCCTCCTCAAGAGTGTGGAAACCAGGCCTTCCCCAGCCTTTGGGAGCAAGTGTCTTGTCTCCGTTGTTCTGTGTGTCTCTTTTAATATGCACATACGTTTTGACCCAGAAGTCCCACCTCTAAGAAGTATATCCTAAGGAAATAAATCAGTTGATGTGTTTAAAGGTTTAGTCCTAAAAATGTTCTGAGCAATGTTTATTCTCCAAATATTAATTAGACATTTACTGTCTGCCAAGCATAGAAAAGAAGTGGTTTTATACGTGTGAAAAAACAGAAGCTTCCTACAAGTCCAAAGACAATGGGTTGCTGAAGTAAATCACAAGGTACCCGTATGATAGAACGTTCTGTGATCACTGAAGATGCGTAGCGGATGGCTGAGGGCCACAAAGCAGAGTCACCTAGTGGTTCAGAGTGTGAAGTGTGGAGTGTGGGGACCAACTTGAATCCTCTGTGTGCTAGCCTTTGACCTCAGGCAAGTTACTTCTCTCTGGGCCTGTTACTTCATGGATACCATGGAGGTTAATCACCCTTACCTTGCATGACAGTAGGTGTGATTGTACAGGTGAAGGCTTTAGATCTGTCCTTGGTGCTATAACTCGTGCTCAATAAGTGACAATTAGTAGGATTATTTGTTCAGTTTAGCGTGAAAACAGCCCAGAGCCTAACGTATAGTGTAAGACCTGGAATATATATCATATATGATCACAATTATATATATGATGTTTGTGATAAGAATTACAGAAATTCACTGTAGATATTCACATCCATCTACACATACATATATGTGTATACTAGATATTAATTGTATTATCTCTAGGTGATGTTTACGGTAGCGTTTATTTCTTTGCAATATTCTAAGCACATTCCAAATGCTCTACAGTGAATATAATCACTTATTGCTGTTGCTGTTATTATCATTATTTTTAAAACAACAAAAAGGCAGAGACTTTTACAAAGGGCAACTCAGTTATTCACGCGCTAGAAATGGGTGAGCTTGTTCAATGCTTTCATCAGCTGTAGGAAGCAGTTAGCATCACGATTCCTTATTTTACAGCGGGTAGAAATGAGGCTGTCAGGGGTCAGCATTGTGCCCAAGGCTCCACGGGGAGTGGAGGCCCTGAACCTCCATGCTCTGTGCCCTTCCAGCTACGGATGGAAATTGTTCTTGAGAGCAGAGTTTGATTAGAAAACTCAGGGCACAACTTCAACAGCATGCGGACTGGTGCAGGCCCCCAGAATACTGAAATCCCCCCGAAGTCCTTTCTGCTTGGGGACAAGGTGGGGACAGAAGAACAAGATGAGTTGGCTGGTCCTAGAGACTAGGATCAAGTGGCCACAGATATCAGGAGGGAAAGCCCGTGATGGCAGAAAGCTAAGAGGGGCTGACCCGAGATGTTAGCTAATTGAGGCAGAGCCTTTATGATAAACAGAAACCCTTACCTCACCCAAGATTCTGGTAGCAGTTCAGTCTCTAAGCGATCTACCCTGGGAGGGACATTTTCCGACTAAAGCTTTAAAGTTCAGGTACAGTTCTGTTCTCCTACCAGGTTCTATCACCTGTCCATTTTTCAAACTTTTTTATTGACAGACATGGAAACGGCTAATGTTTAAGTTAGAAAAGGAAAACATGCTTCTTTGGGGGAAGAAAAGCAAACAAATCAGAATGTAGAGAGGAAAAACTTTGCAGTTTTTCTTCTTCCTTCATCTTGATAAATGCTTTATACGTTCCAGCTCGTGGAGTCCACACCATAACTCTAAGTAGTGGGGTTGATTTAAATGTCCCCAATTTACACACAAGGGACCTGAGTTTTAAAGTTACTTCCTTGTTTTGGAAATGACTGATTAGAATTCTCTTCTGTGCATGTGCCTCAAGGTACAGAGTCATCCCCCTATTGACAGGTGGATGTGTTATTTCGAATATTTTTACTATGTAAATGATGCTTCAGAAGACATCCTTGTACATATGTTTTCCCTTGTGTTTGTTCATGAGTATTGATCTGTTGAATTCCTAAATGGGATGTTGTGAGATCAAAGAGAATGAATATTTTACATTCTGTTATTTTTTCCTGTTTCTGGTTTTCCAGCACTCACCCACCTTAGTGCATATGCATGCGTGCACACACACAGACCCTATTCCCCGTCCCGAGGCAGTGCGCATTCACTGAGCATTGGTCATACCTCTTGATGTTGCACTTTGCATAACCCTCAGCAGTGTTCTGACATAAGCACTCTTGTTATCATCATCTCCACTTTACAGATGGGCAAACCGAAGCACTGAGGGCATAAAGTCATTTGACTCCAGATTCCTGCCTCCAGGTTCCTCATGCATGAATCTAACTACAGAACCCCTACTTCCTTAGCCATCATGTCCTTCTCCTGCCTGTAACCCATCCAGTGGCTTTTCCAAAGCTTTCAGGATGAAGTGCAGATTTCATAGTAACAAAGGAAAATGCATCTGATGACCTAACGCTTCTTAGACCATCAAGTGCGTTTGGACTCTATTCTCCGGGCAGTGGGGACCCATAGAACGTTTGGTATCCAAGGATTTACATGGGGGTACCTGGGCTCGAGAGTGATTTGTGTAACTAGCCACTCTTTTACAGTGTTTTCCAAAGGACACCCAATGTATGAAAGACTTCCCCAGGGTGCTGGAAAGGAGACTGTCAAAAATTGCTAAGGGGATCAGAGGCAGCTTCTGTGTATAACCTCCTTGTACCCCGTCCCTTCTCAAAGCTGGATTCTCAAGGTCACGTCCAACTGACCAGCACCTGCCCAAAGTTATTTTCTGTTTGTTTGATAAGGGGAAGTGAGTTTATGCTGCGGGACTCCCAGTGGCGGGTTTGTTTTAAGATCTGGCGATCTCCGTGCTCCTCCGTCTGGGGCCCAGCTGCAGAAACCCTGACCAGGCGGACACCTCTGGGAAGTGGTGTTTTTGGAAACCAAGCCAAAACAGCGCCTTGCTCTGCCCCTGGGGCAGCTGAATAAAGCTGTTGGAGGGAGAGATGGGAGTCCAGCTTCTTCCTTGGGGTGGGGGGTTGGGGGCGGGTGTGGATAAGTCTCGGGTCATGGCCTTCATTCCGCATCCTAGAAAAGAGAGACTAGAATTGAAGGTCGTTAGATCTAAAGACATTAAGAGATTGTATTCCAGCCCCCCTCAGACTCAGGCTCCACTCCTGTTTATCAAGCACCTGCAGGATGCTTTGCCCAGACAAGGTCTCATGTACCCTCAGAAAGAAGTTCTCATATTGATTAGAAACGTGGCCTTGGAGTCCAGACTGCCTGGGTTCGAATCTCAGATCTGCCCCTAGCTCTGTGCTCTTTAAAAAGCAGGTAGACCTCTCTCAGCCTCAATTTCCTCCTCTGTACAATGCAGAAATCACAGTATTTACTCCAAAACTAGTGGGAGGGTTATATGTGTCCAAAGCACAGTGCCCCATGCCTGGGAATTTCCCGGTGATAGCACTGTGCAGGAGGCGTCATTGTCCTTGTATTCCCGCCGTGGACACTCAGTCTGGACTGCTTCTGCGTCTGCCTGACTCCTGGCCCGTGCTTGCTGCATAGGACACATTGGCTCTGCAGGCCTGAGCTCCCCCTCCCGCCATGCCTCCGTTTTCTTTCTCAGTCTTAGCTGTGCAACCTGGTTGCCCTCCAGTTCCACATCCAGAAACCTCTCCGGTTCCTCCGCCTTCCTCTACATGCCGACTCCTCTTCATCAGTAGTCAGTGTCACAGACCTGAACAGCCTTATAACCACCTTGACCCACACAGCGAACTGACCTTCACTCTATAACTAGGCAGGTAGCTCCTTGAGGGCAGGAATGTTTTATGTTTCCTTGGCCCTTGGCTTAGAGCAGAGACTATGGAATCGAGGCTCAGAAAGCTTGTTTGAAGGCCAGTATCACTGCATCAGTAAACGGCACAATTAATGAATGAGTGGATGAATGAATGCGAAGGCGTGAGTGAAGGAACAAGTGAGTGCGTAAAAGAAGGAGTGAGTGGGTGAATGAGTGAATACGCAAGAAAATGAGTGGATGAGTGAGAGAGGCTGAATGATTGGTGGGGAGGGAGCGGATAAGGGAATGTGTGACTTACTGACCAGGGGATTTGGGCCCCGTGGAAAGCAGCTTGTCTTGCCCTTGTCCTTATCCGTGACCTCCCTCTCCAGGCTCAGACGTGCCTTTTCAGTTCTATCCTCCCTCCCCTTCCTCCTGTTCCCTCTCACCTGTCTCCAGAAGTGATGACTGCACTAATTTGTTCACAGACCATTAACTCTTGAGCACTGGAAGAGGCCAGCTCTGAGTTGGCAGGGGCTGGGGTGCTGGCTCCCGGTCCACCAGGAGGCATCATCATGCTCTTGCCTGCCCGCCCGTGCAGCGAGGTTCTTATCTCTCCCTCTGCCCGCTTGCAGATGACGACTGCACTGACTCCTTCACGCCCAATCAAGTCGCCAGAATGCACTGTTACCTGGACCTGGTGTACCAGAGCTGGCAGCCCTCCAGGAAGCCGGCGCCTGTCGCCCTTGCCCCCCAGATCGTGGGCCACACGACCGACTCTGTGATGCTGGAGTGGTTCCCGCCCATCGACGGCCACTTCTTTGAAAGGTGAGTGTAGCCCGTGAAGTGTTGATGCCCCTCTCTGTCTCCTGCCAAGAAGAGGGAAACTTGGAAGGGAAGCAGCCTTGGAGAGGGATTTCGCTGTGTTTCTTGTTCTCGATCTTGTTTAACGAGTGCCCGCCACGACTAGCACAATGACTGGTCCATAGAGGCACGATGTAGATTTGGGGGTCAGGGAATACATGAATGATTGCTAACAGAAATTAATGAGTAATGATGCATATTTTAAGTGGTGAATATTTAGCTTCATTTTATCATTAAAAACATGGAAACCTCTGTCGCCAGAACTTCCTCTGCGATGGAGGTACTGGTCTCATCTCCGTGAGCTCGGGAGTTGAAGTTGCCTCTGGTTAATGGGCTAACACCTTCCTATACGTATAGTATATGAAGGGTACATTATACCTGAATACACAGGCATATATGTACATATATATATATAAATTTATTTATTTAATATATAATTTTTTTTTAAGGCTTTTAGCTTTCTCTTGAATCAGCATTAAGCTGAGCAGGGCTCAACACTGATTGATATTTTTTTTTTTTTTGTTGGCTGCGTTGGGTCTTCAGTGCTGCGTGGGCTTTCCCTAATTGCGGCGAACAGGGGCTACTGTTCATTGCGATGTGTGGGCTTCTCATTGCGGTGGCTTCTCTTGTTGTGGAGCATGGGCTCTAGGCGCATGGGCTTCAGTAGTTGTGGCACGCGGGCTTGGTAGTTGTGTCTCGCGGGCTCTGGAGCGCAGACTCAGTCGTTGTGGCACGTGGACTTAGTTGCTCCGCGGCATGTGGGATCTTCCCGGACCAGGGATCGAACCCATGTCCCCTGCATTGGCAGGTGGATTCTTAACCACTGTGCCACCAGGGAAGTCCCACATATATTTTTGTATAATTAGAATCTGTGCCTGTGCCTAGTGTTGTTTTATAGAACTGAAGGTAGAATTTTTAGAAGATCAGAGGATGATAAACTGAGGCACAAGATACCTCAGTTCAGCTCCTGTCTGCCACTCACTAGTGGTATGGCCTTGGGCAAGTCACTTTCCCTCCCTGAGTCTTATTGTCAGCTGAAAAGTGGGTCTAATGATGCCTTCATGGCCTGAAGGTGGAAACCTGAATCAAACGGTTTCTTGTGCTGCCTTTCAGCATCGGGACTCCCTGAGGAGCTCAAGCTTTAGGGGATTTTAAAGGGTCATGAAACGTACTGCGATGTTGACCTCTATTTTGGTTGGAACTTGACTATAATTTAGGGTAGATTAGTATATTGCCCCCCTCCCAGCCCTTCTTGGGGATGTTTTATCCAATAATGATGATACAACACTGATGATGGTGGAAATAATAACCAGCTAATGATTAATTATTACTCTATGGTCGTGGTTGTCACCATTTATCAAGTGCTTACTCTGCACTGGATTCTGTACTAAATGCTTTCCATACAGTCTCATTTAATCTTTCCAGTAATTCTATAACAGGGGAACCAACTTCTGCATTTGCCAGATGAGGTAGGGACTGTCGCACAAAGAGGTGGAGAGCTTTGACCAAAAGCCCATAGCAGGTGGTGGGAGCTGGGCTTCGAGTCACATTTTGCAGTGTCTTATCCGAGGCTCTCATGTTCTTTCGTTAAGTCTTTCCAAACTTTGAATTGTGAAGGAGGTGTTACCCCTCCCCTCAAAAAAGGCCACAGAATGTGGCAAGGAGCTCTCACAAGTATGGGTGTATACGTGTGTGTGCGTGTGTGTATGTAAAAAATATATTAGATCACGGCATCACATTAAATTCGGGCTCCAGTTTTCCACACTACTATCAGTCCCTGAATCTAGAGCCTTCATTTGACAGCTGGATGGATGTGATCACGGGGAAAGGAAGTGCACTCCCTAGGCCCTCTGTAGAAACCCCCCTTCCTCTTCCCCAGCCATCCTCACTGGGAGCTTAGAGCTGGGGTTGGGAAACCTCATGTGACACTTCAGAGCAGGCTTTCCAGCAGCCCATAGATTTATTTATTTTTTCTGTGGCAATGAGGAGTATCAGACTTTTGGTCAAGGCTTGGCCTCGATTCCACTTGAAAATGGAAGTTTTGTAAATGAAGCTTCCTGTGTATGTATTCAATTTGTATTTCATAAAGCAGTTTTTGTCCATTAAATAAATACCATCTGATTGTTGGAAACCTATTGGAGGGCTAATTGTTGTGTAATGAGATATGTCTCTATTACATAGTGCCCTCAGCTTCAATCAATATGTTTTTAATAACCTATAGTCAGTTGGTACTTGAGGCTCATACAATAGCTATTCTGTTCAGTCTAAGATTTCACAACGGAGTTATCATATGTTAAATTAAAACTGACATTTTAGAAACATGTCTAATTAGGGTTAACAGCTATGTAGACCATAGTCTATGGCTAAAGGAAGTAGGTCAACAAGTTCAATAAACTGTTGTAAAGGAATGGAACTGTCCCCCTCCCATACACACGGAGTTCCTACTGATGGAAATCGGCTTAGTACAAAGTGCGCGAGCTTTGATGTCAAGTTGTCTGTGTTCCAGTCTCAGCTTCACCACTCCCAGCCTGTGGGACCTTGGGCAAGTCATCTCCCTTCTCTGATCCTCTCTGGCCCTCTGCATCTTGTTCCATAAAAGGTGCTAACCAGGCTCACTTCCCCTGGCTTTTGTGGCGAATTCCACAAGATGACCTCTGCGCTATGCCTAGCACACACGCTCTGTGTTCAGGAAATACAAGCTCCCTTCTTGTACAGTTTTCCAGAGCTGTTGAGCTACTTGAAAAGTTCTCTTTCCCTGAAAAATCTCTGGTGTTTTCCACTACATTCATCAATGCCAACCTCTCGCCCCTGGCCATCCTCATGTCCTCCTGCTGTTCCTCACATCTGTGGTCTAAGAGAATACAAGGGTTTTCCTTAAAAAAACATATTCAGATCCTCCCACAGCCTGTGTCCTCACACATGGGCAACTGAATAAATAATTCAAGGCCACCCCTGGCTTTTTTAACTCCTTTATTTTTATCTGTCTTGCAAACATGTGTTGACTAGGTGGTTGCATTTTTCTGAACAATGGGCTGTGGTGTATTGGAAAGAATGCTGCACTGGGGACCAAGAGACCTGGGTCTGAAGTCTTTGCAACCTCATCCATTTCTTCTTCCTCTTCAGCCTCACTTTTCTGATCTATAAGCTCAAGGGGATCTAGCCTTGCGCAACCAAGGTTCCTTTTCCAAATCTCAGAACACAGAAAATGACTTTTGAGTAACTGTTTTCTCAGTTCTCCTAAGGATGGTACGTAACTAGTACCATTTTAGATGCATAGGAGAGAGGTTAATTCATTATGTACAGTGGATGCCTTAGAGAAGCACTGTTCAACAGAACATTCTGCAGTGTCCAGTATGGTGGCCATTAGTCAACTGTGGCTGTGGAGCAATTGAAATGTGACAAGTTTAAATGAGGAACTGAAGTGAATTCTACATTTATTTAATTCATTTAAATTTAAATAGCCACATGTGATTAGGGGCTGCTGTATTAGACAGCACAGATTTGGAGCTTTAAACTTTGATTCTCATGGAACCTGGGTAAGAAAGATGATCTCTTCCTGTGTTAGCATCCTGTATTTCTATGATTTCAGTGTGTGTGTGTGTGCGTGTGTGTGTCTGTCTGTCTGTCTGTCTGTGTAGATACAGGTGCCCACTGAAATCAAAGAAATGCCAAAGATTAGAAACACATACTGTGCACTCCCTGAATGTATGTAGGATATTGCCTGATTTTGGTAAAGCCCATTTTGACTCTGTGACTTTCTGAGCTATGATTTTGGTTACTTTGTACTCATGCTTCTCAGTTTCTTTAACTATAAAATGGGAACATCACCCACCTTTGCTGTTTAGTTACTGACTTCGCTTTTACTTGTGCCCAACTTATTCTTCATTCACCATTCAGACTGATCATTTTAGAATGTGAATTAGGTCACGTCACCCGTGTGTTACAACCCTCCAGTGGTTTCCCATTACTTCTATGTGTAATCTAACACGTAGTCTACGGCACCTCCCATGATCTGGCCCTTGCCTCTCTTACTGCTCTTTCCTTCGTCTGTGACTCTTGCCACTCAGGTTTCTTTAAGGCCCCTTATGGACCAAGCCCTTCTTTCTTGCTTAGGTCCTTTACATACCTTTAGACTGAACCTGGAATGCTTTACTCCCACTCTGTGTCATTCTTCACCATACCTCGACTAACATCTTCTATGATTATGCCAATCTAAATAAGCCCAGCACGCTCCACCCCATTATTCTCTCCTACATCATCTATCAACTTTCCTTCTAGAAATGCTGAATCTGTACTGTTATATCTATTTATCTGTTTGTTTAGGGACCGTTGCCTCTGCTGGATGGAAAGCTCTTATGAGGGCAGTTACCACACCAAATGTACTCACCCTTGGATGGTTAATGTCTGGTAGTTGTACAGTGCTAACAACCAGCGGCTGTTCAATGAGTATCCACTGAATGAATAGATGAAATATTGAATGAACACATGAACCGGTGATCGAACATGAGGGAATGCACTTGGTAGAGCTCTGTGTAAATTAGGCACCTTTATTGTCAGGTGGATGATGGCTTATTCACTCATCAGAGTGTTTATTGGGAACCTACACTGTGTCAAGAACTCAGTGAAGCGCAGGTGACTATATGTGTATCATCTAAAACAGAGCATCTAAAGAAGTAGAAAGGCTCAATTACCATAAAGGTCGGCGCGACTCCTGATTCCATACAAGGATGTTTGTAATCTCACTGTCGTCATAAAGCCAGTCCTGTGACTCTGAGTTGCTATGCATGGATTGTGGTCATTGTAATGGAACCAGAGTGGTGCTGAGCACCTCTCTCTGCTCTCCTCATCCCCTGCCTGCAAGCATATTTGTATAATCATCATTACTGCTAGTCCAGGAGTGCCTTATACATGCTGCAGATATATAGAAAGTTCAGAAAACCAGAAGGAATAAAAGGAGGGAGGGAGGAATCATCCTGTGTTCTACCACCTAGAAATTACTGCTGACAATATTTCGTTGCATTAAGATTATTAGAACAGGGCTTCCCTGGTGGCGCAGTGGTTGAGAGTCCGCCTGCCGTTGCAGGGGACACGGGTTCGTGCCCCGGTCCGGGAAGATCCCACATGCCGCGGAGCGGCTGGGCCCATGAGCCATGGCCGCTGAGCCTGTGCGTCCGGAGCCTGTGCTCCACAACGGGAGAGGCCACAACAGTGAGAGGCCCGCGTACCGCAAAAAAAAAAAAAAAAAAAGATTATTAGAACAGCATTGAGATGCTGCTATAGATACAGTTTTGAATATGACTCTTTCACTTAACATGATAGCGAATACATTTTTCCATAAAATTTAGTAATCTTTATAAGTATTTTTTATAAAAACTGCTTACCATTGCACTGAGCAGATCAACCTTAGGCCATTTAATCGTTCTCCTATCACTGAATATTCGTGTGCCCATAACATCTCCACCTGTGTATGGTTTCATATCTACAGTGATAAGGCTGAGGATGCAGGATCTGCAGTTTGAGGGTCTAGACTAGGTTCATCATGGGTCTTAGCAACATATTGGAATGACTGGTATTTATCCATCCATCCATACATACATTAAACTACGTATGTTGACCACCATGTAAGTAGGTAAGCAGGGACATGAAGTGTTCAGATTTAGGTTTGGGGTTGAGCTCCCTGGCAGCTGGGTGGAGGAGGAATAAGGACCACCAGCAGACTGTGATGTTGACAAGCATGTGAGCCCAGGGGCTACGGAGGTTCCCTATGAAGCAAAAGCCCTAAGGCTTGAGATAGGGTTCCTCCACTGTATCTGTCAGGTAGCCAAAGTATAGTGATTCTTCTAGGAAAGAGGTATTGGAAGGACCATTGCATTTTGAGAAATAATGGGTTGGGCTATGACAATTTCTTGACATTTTCCCTTTCCAGTCCCTCTGTAGGAGTTGCTCAGATTTACAGAGTTTTGGGCTCACTCACCCTCGTTACATGAGGAGAGGGCTTATCCCCCTCCCTTCCCAGCAACTGTCTCCTAAACAGGAGCCAAGTCTGGAAAACAAGTAGGATCCCAGAGGCTGTTGTGGCTAAAGGGAGATTGAATCCAGACACATAAGACACTAGATGATAGGGAAAGCCACCGTAACATTCTACTTCTGGGGCTGGGCTGGTCCCATTGAGGGGTTGGCTTGCCCCTTGGAAAGCTGCTAAAATGAATTAGATGGCATGGTTAGGAAACTGTTTTTGACTGTAAAATCAAAGAGTGACTCATCCAGCCCCAGAATGTCAGGGCTAGAAGATTCTTTAGGCATCATCTAGTTCAGCCCACTCATTTTCAGGTGAAGGAACTGAACCACGCCTTCTTCCTATTTAATACCTAGGATACTGGATGGTTCCTGCATGTGGTAGGTACCTGACAGATATCGTTAAAAGAATAAAATTTGAGGTCCAATGGGGCAAAAGATTTTCTCACAACCACACGTCAGATCTTCAAGGGAACTTTAAATGATGGATGAAATGAAGATTAGTGCAGGTAGTAAGTTGATTCTGTTGATTCTGGGCTGTTTAGAATTAAAGTGTATCCCCCATCAGAACAGAAGCCACTTAGGCCCAAACACGGCCCTCGTGGGCAGTGGGGAAGAATTTCACTCATGGTCATATTCTGGAAGCTCTGGGAAGACTGGAGAACATAGATTGGTTGTAACCTCCGCCTTTGGCTTAGTCAAGCCAGGGACTCATTCAACTGTTCCTAAGTCGGTGCATTTTCCTTCTTTCCTTGGCCTCCTAGAGAATTGGGATCAGCATGTGACCTTTGCCTGGAAGGGAGAATCCTGGTGCAATATGCCTTCAACGCCTCCTCCCCGATGCCCTGTGGCCCATCAGGACACTGGAGTCCTCGGGAAGCAGAAGGTAAGCCAGCCTGGAAGCTCTTTTGCTGGTTGGGTGTGCAAAGAACACTTTCGATATAGTTGGAGTTTTATGCTTTTAATGGTCTTTTTCATGTACTATCTCATTTGATCTGAAGATCGCCCTAAAAGGCCAGTCTTGTCTTTTTTTTTTTTCCTCAGCTTTATTGAGGTATAATTGACATATAACACTATGTAAGTTTAAGGAGTGCAATGTGATGATTTAATACATGTGTGTATTTCAAAGTCACCACGGTAAGGTTAGTTAACACATCTGTCACCTCATATTTCCGGTTTTTTTTTTAAGTGAGAACATTTAAGATTTCCTCTCTAAGCAATTTTCAATACAGTATTGTTAACTGTAGTCACCATGCTGTATATTAGAACTCCAGAATTGATTCATTGTATCAGTAGGAGTTTGTACCCTTTCGAAACCCTACATCAAGGCCAGTATTCATGCATTTGTTCAACACAAGTCTTTTGAGCATCTGCACTGCCCTGAGCATGTCATGCCACTTTACATATGAAGAAACAGATTCCCTGAGGTATTAAGTAAGTGCCCAAGGCCACACACCTGACAAGACACAGTATGTGTATGTTTATATATGCCCCAGACCCTGACAGCCTGTGAGGGCATAAATAAACAAGGTCACGTTAGAATCAATACACATCACTAGCCTTTGATTCTTCCACAGTTACTTCTGGGGTACCCAGGGCCTTCTTACATGTGTCACAACTCTTCCTCTCGGTTTCCTTCCATGAAACCTCCTTTTCAGGATCCATTTATCCGCAAGGCACTAGCAGGAAGCACCTCATGACTGCCACGGTTGCGGCTCCACCCATGACCAGACCTTCCCTGCACAGGGACGTCTCCCAGGCCTCCCCAGGAGCCAACAATCTCTGTGCTACCTTACAGTACAGCTCACTGCCCCTCAGTTTTCTAGAGAAATTAAGAAACTGCCTTTCACCCAATGCTTTGTTGCACTGTCGCTTGGCCCTGAAGGAAGAGAGCTTGCAACTTAGAGAATCTCATGGAAAATTGCCTATTCCGTTTCCTCCTGCAGTGTCTCTTTCTTTGGGGCACAGGTCTAGTCCCTGAAGCCAGGCTGGCAGAGACCCCTCAGTCCTCCGTCTCGCCCTCCGTTGCTTTCAGAGACTTCCACTTAGAAGCCCCCTCTCTGTCCTTCATTCTGCTATGCAGGTCAGCTCCTGCCAGCTGTCTTTGGGTGGGGACCCCAGTCCACCAGAGGGAGCAGAATCTGACTCCTCACTGAGGTTCAGTGAGAACTCCCCCGTCTCCCTTTATATTTTTAGAAAGAAGGTTGAAAAAGAAAAAGCCAGAGATAGAATAAAGCAAGGGAGAGGGATCAGAGAGAAAAGTGAGGGAGAAAAATGACAGCGCTGTGCTCTGTTATCTTCTAAAATAGCTTAAAATAAAAATGAGAGTCGAACTGGGGAACTCTAAACAAATTCATCCGGAATGTAAAGCCAGAGAGATGCCTGGGAGAAACCCTTAGCTCAACCTCACAGAATCACAGGCTGTCAGCCGTGGAAGGGATGCCTGGGGTCATCCAGCCCCAGGTCCCACCCCGGGCAGGAATCCCCTTTGTGCCCTCCCTCACCGAGGCTCTCCCAGCACCAGCTCGTGTATTTCCTTGGCCTTCCCATTCTAGCTCCATCTGTTAGAAAGTTCTTCCTAAAATCTGCAGTGGTAACTTTTTCACCCAAACTGAACCCACATTGGGTTCTCACAGAAGAAGGTATGGGTCTCTTCCATACAAGGAATGAACCCACCTCATCTCTGCCCACCATAGGGACTGTGCTGGGCACATGGACTGGGCAGAGCTGACTGTCTAATAGGGGAGTCAGATGAGTACGTGGGCAATCACCATCGGGTGTGATGAGGCTTGTGCTGCGTAGGGGACCTCGCCCCAAATTGAGACTCATGCCACCCAGGAAATGTTAACGCACCAGTGAACAAGGTACATTTAAGAATGTGAGAGGGGCTTCCCTGGTGGCGCAGTGGTTGAGAGTCCGCCTGCCGATGCAGGGGACACGGGTTCGTGCCCCGGTCCGGGAAGATCCCACATGCCGCGGAGCGGCTGAGCCCGTGAGCCATCTGCGCGTCCGGAGCCTGTGCTCCGTAACGGGAGGGGCCGCAACAGTGAGAGGCCCGCGTACCGCAAAAAAAAAAAAAGAATGTGAGAGGAGTTGGATATGTTTAGAGCACTGGTTTTCTCAGTGTGATCTGGAGGCTTATGGGGTTCCTAAGACTTTGTAGTGTGTCCTCAAAGTCCAAAGTATTTTCATAATAGTGCTGTACCACTGTTGGCCTTTTCCACGCTCACTCTTTCCTGAGTGTGCAGTGGAGCTTCCCAGCAGCTGCATGGCATGCGATGTTTTACTGCTCTGACAGCTAATGGGACACATACTTATGTGTCCTTGTGTTTTAAAGTTTCTCAGTTTTAATCCACAATGTGGTAACGTCTAATAGATATAGCGTACATAAACGAAAGCTCCTCAGTAATGGGGTAAGAACTTAAATGGGTCTGGAGTATGAAAAGGAAGGCGTGGGTGAGGGAGAGGTTGGACTGGGGTGATATGTGTAATGTCCGGATGAGGATGGGTTTGGATTATTCTGAGGGCAGTGAGGAGATGCCACGTGCCTTGGCAGGTGCCTGGAATATGGTGAGGTGTGCTTGTTAGAAAGATCGTCTGGGCTGCTCTGTGGCGAAGAGATCGGGGGGAGGAGTGGATGGGGGAAAGGGCGCATCCAGGTGGCTGTTTCAGGAAACCAGCAGACGGATGGCAGTGGCCTGGATGAGGTCAATGGCGGTGATACTGGAGAAGAATCAATGGAATTGAGAGAGATTTGGGAGGAAGAAGTAGCAAGACTATACCCTGAGACTTTTCTGGCTAAAATCATCTTGGTTTGTTCTACCACTTGAACGAAAGAAATAATTTCCTGGTATCTCCCCACACCTCCATCCAACCAAACTGTCAATTGGTTAGGTCTGTTCCTGGTTCACCCGTCACCCTCTTCAAGCATGATATGCAGAGTGGAGTCCCACTGAAGTGCTGAGCGCCCCCTGTACCCTGAGCTGACCGAGGCCTCCAAGGAAACCCAGCAGCCCCGGGTTTTCCTTCAGGATATGCAAATTTAGTACAGGCAGGCCAGGAAGAGGCTCTGTTCTTTTTTTAGAGCATCCTATTACAGGCTGTGTGATCCATTTGGCTCAGACCCTTTTAATATTCTTAAAGAAATAAACTTTTCCGTGAGCCAAACTCTGCAATTTATTTCTCAACTCATTTTCATCCTATTTATCTTTGCGTGTTTAAGTTTTTGGACTTCCCAAACTAACATAAAACTCCCCAGTCTGTGAGCGATGCCAGAGTATCTTTGGGGTTGGGGAAAGAGCATGGGTGTGGGGGGGACTGACGAGGATGGGATTTTGGTCTGTGTCAGGCCATCAGTGTGCTCTGTGCCCTTGAGTGAGTCACTTTGCTTCTCTGAAGATAGCATCTTATCCGTAGAACAAACGTCCTTTCCAGCTGTGATATTTTATTATCCGTAGAACAAACGTCCTTTCCAGCTGTGATATTTTAACTCCGTATTAACAGGATAGAAAATTCTGCATTTAACAGATATTTACTGCACATTCAGTGTGTCCCATTAACTCCGTTTCATGAACTTCAGGTACATATAATCACAGAGATTCTTGCCTTTGGCCACGGAACATGGTTGTACCAAGAAGAAACCTATTTTCTCTTCTCTTGAGCAAAAACTGTATTTCATAGATGAATATTTTCTGAGGTATTCAATACCGCGATACGCTTGTAGCTCAGGAATTAGATAGCTAGATCTGATCGACTCAAATCTCAGTGCAGATCACTTATGCAAGCCTATAATACATTGCAACTCCTGGGTTTTCCATGAGAGATTTAACACATGGCACTGGCTGTTTTCATTCTTACTTGTGTGAATATTTTCCCCATTTTCCTGCCCAGAATATTTCAGTGTGCTAAAGTATTCATCTAGAAAAAACCTGACACCAAGTTGTTACATTTGTGTCAACAGCTGCAGTGTATATACACAAGGATATGTGATAGGTGTCTGCATAGATCACCATAAATGTAAATTTAAATCAGCATAGGTATGCGTAAATATATTTCACATCACATATGGCCTCATCCCTAGTGGACAGCTTGTATGAACATGTAACTCTTCATCTTGTCAGCATATATACAAAAAGATGCGTATTGGTAATGAAGTAACAGTTCCTTTGTACTTTTCTTCCTTTCTTCCCTCATCCCTTCCTCTCCTCTCCTCTCCTCCCCTCCCCTCCCCTCCC